GTATATATGTATGTATAGTATATACAGCAAATATATAATATTAGCTCAAGAACTAACAGGGGTGTTTGCCAGATAATGGTAGGGGAAATGCTACAATATTTATCATTATATTATTATTACTAGTGTTGTAGTACTTGAGACCGGTCTTAAGACCACATGTTGATGGTCTTGGTCTTGTCTCGATCTCGGACATCGAGACTTGGGATTTTATTTCAAGACCAGTCAAGACCACAAGTGTGGAAATATCACTAAATAGCCAGAATTTTTTCCAATTTCTTTCTTAACATCTTTGATTTTATTGAATGTAAAACGTACTGATTCAAATCCAAGCATGACTCATTGCTAATTTTGTACTTTTGTTACGGTGTCACCCATCTGCTAAATCTTCAGTAACACAGTTCAGCTACATAAATCATAAAGAATATATTTGTAAAACAGCTTTTTGTAGCAAAATAATTTTTTCTCATTTTTTATGTGTGTGGCTCATAGTATTTTTCCTATCTTTGTTTAACAGTTAAGTAAATTAACAAAAAAAGAATAATTTACAACTAGTCTGGGTTCCCTTTAACTACCTTCACAGCCTCATGTTGGCTAATTTATCTTTTTACACTTGCAGCCACACTTCCCTCAGCGTGATACTGTGTAATATTTATTGCTGCAAAATAACATGTTGGACAAATTCATTTGAAAAAGTTCAGTTATCCTGATAAAATCATCTTAGCAGCTTTGTCACTGACCGAGCAGCTCTTTGTAGACTTAAAGGAAAAAAAGAATCAGTAAATCCTCCCCGGTGCTAATCCTGTTTCTCACAGCAGCGTCTCGCTGAGGTCACTTCCTGTTGATATGTGGTGGAACCGMTTCCTTCACCACCTCTTAATTCAGACAGAACGGCTTCTTGAAAACATCCAGGAAAGTTTGGGGGAAAGTTTTGCTGATAAGAACCTGACAGCAGCMGTCTGCAGTCAGAGTGCGGCGTTGTAAGTGAGGTTGGCAGGAAGGAGGTCAAAGTCTGTGCCGAAGGGTGCAGGTGTGGGTCGATAACGTGGTTTTAATCTAATCACCTWGATTAAACTCAGGTTCTCTGTTTATTGCTTTTTTGTGTGTTTTATTTTGCCATTCCCAGGCAAACAGTCCCCTAAAACACGTTGAAATGTAAAAAATTTGCAATAAATAATAGATTTTTTGTTCATTTCTGCATCCCATTGAACAACCTGATTAAACCGAGGCTAAACTCGGCTCCTGAACTTTGATCTTTTAAATCTGCGTGTGCATTTCCTGTCACCTCTCACTGTGTTTTGCTTCCCTGAAGTCAGACGCGTCACAGATTAGAAGGTGGTTACGTAACGATGGACAGGAATATCTGATGCACTGGTTCATCACTTAGTTATCTATTAATAAACTTAGAAACTTTAAAATTTAGCCACAACWTTTAAAGTGCCTGTGACATCAAATTTTTGTAATAAACATGAATTCATTTTTGGAAAGRAAACATTGATAACATATTGCAAAACAAATTTCACATYGCTCAGATGAACGGTTGTTTAGATATGTGCATGTGAAGAAACAGGAAGTGATGTCAAAGGGGAATGTCAGCATRTAAACAGAGCATTGTTGCAAAAGTTAACAACACAAACTGTAGAGAAGAATCTGATGTTTATTTTGATTATCTTTAGTCGCTATCAAAATGAGACAAAGAAAAGTTAATAATTTTGTTTTAATAAACTGAGGCCAGCGAGTTTATTTTCTTGATGAGTTCCCCTTTTATGTCACTTCCTGTTTCACTTTGGCTGAGCTAAACTGAAAAGAAAATAGGCCAATTATGTGACAAAATCGTTAAAATCAACTGTACTATGCCCATTTTCTTACGTATAAAGATGCTTTCTTTGACTTTTTATATTTGAAGGATAGGCAAGTCACAGACTGAACTTTTGCATTTAGATTAGGATTTAATATTTACACATATTATTTAACTTTTTAATCGAACATTTAGTAAAAATTAGTAAAATGTAAGAACAGGGAGCTAAATAAAGAAACGTTACGAATGGAAATTTTTAATTTTTGGAAATTAAAAAAATGTGTTATTTTACACTTGGCGCCCCAAAGTCCACTGGTTCATGTGATATTTTGCTAACAGACGTCTCTGTGCAGCTCTAACTGTGACCCCGACGAGCGCGCCGACGACCTGGAGCTCTCCGCTGCGCCATGGCACAAGGAGGAGCTGGCGTCGCTGCAGCAGTCGCTCCGCGCCCTGCAGAATCWGTTCGCCGCTGAGCGCGCTCGCCGCGAGGAGGCCGAGCGGGAAGCAGAGCTGCTGGCGACAGAAAACACGGCGCTGGAGCAACAACTGGCCGCGATGGAGGGGTGTCAGGTCAGTCGGGTGCAGAGGCGGAGCTAGACTTTTTTGCAAGGGGGGTCACATACAAATATAGACAAACACGCTGGATTTGAACATTCAAAAAMGGCTGCCACAGCTAATTCCAAATAGCTTTATTTCACCTGTTTTAAGAAATATCAAGCTGAACGTTTGCGTGATAGTAGCTAAGAATGATCCAAGAAGCACGCTGAATGCAGTCACCACTTATTATTCAGCCATTTTTAGACATACAAAGCTGAGGATTAGTGTAGAAGTAGCCAAAAAACAGTCTTTACGTGATTCTACATGCTAACCAAAAGTTCAAGATGGCCACTACAGCTAACTTTAAAAGGCTATAGTTCAGCCATTTCAAGTCTTATTGGTGAGAAATTTAAGTAGCTAATCACATGCCGATTGTTATTCCCAAGTTAAGCTAACCATGCTAATTTTATAAAAAGGATAAGCCATCTTTAACTATACACAGCTTAGAAAAATATGTAGTACAATAGTATCAAAGAACAATCATTTAAAAAAATCAAGATCCCCACCCACTTGTCAGTTATTTGGGGGTGGTACCTGGGGTGGCCTATCAGGTACCTGMGGTGACACTTGGCACCACCCCTTYGTCTCCGCCCCTGGTCAGTTTCCCCCCTTGAGTTCCTTTTATTCATACTTTGACCTTCATATTCTCCCTCCTTYCCATCAGGCTCGAGTGTCTGAGCTGGAGCACGAAGCCGAGGAGCTCCGTCAGCTCTGGAAATCCAAGTCCTCCTCCAGGTCGACCTGCTCAGACTTCCTCCACGGCCTGCTGCCGCACTCGCTGCTCCTCAACCCCGAGGAGGAGGGCGCTGGGGAACCCGCTGCTGCCAGGAGCCCGGCTGTCCTGAAGCGCTGGGCCAGCGAGCGGCTGATGAAGGCCACACAGGCGCCCGACTCCCCCGGCGGGATCTACGACCACGAGTGCTCCTGCGTGCGCCGCGCCGAGGTGGTGAAGTACCGCGGGATCTCGCTGCTCAATGAGGTCGACGCTCAGTACAGCGCCTTGCAGGTGAAGTACGAAGAGCTGCTGCGGCGCTGCCAGCTAGAGGAGGAGGAGGAACCGGGCTGTAAGTCTCTGACCTCAGGGGTCACCGCAGGTCGTCTCAGTCCAGCAGACATGGAGGACTTCCAGGACGACCGTCGCCAACCCGAGTATAAAGAACTTTTCAGGAAAATCTTCTCCCGCATTCAGAAAACCAAAGATGACCTGAATAAAAACAGAGGAAGACCCTCGGCTGCTGAAGCTACTTCACAGTAGCTGCTTTTAAAATAAYGCCAGTAATTATTATCTTCCAATCACAGGTTTCATTCTTTTTTTTAAGAATCAAAAGGGCTAAAGGAAACCAGCTCATGTTGCAGATGTTTGCACAGATACACCAGTGCCTCTGCGGTGAAATCACTCTACCTCACAACTCAGAAAACCTGCAAAACGATCCGTCTTCCTCTCAGAGGCTGGAGGACAGAGTGTGTGATGCTGATGACTCTCAGCTACTACCGCACCGAATTTTAGCTCAAGATCTGCAAAATTCCCTGAGCTTGAGCCRTTTTGTGTCATCAGCTGTGGCGGCCATCTTGAATTGTAAATGTTTGGTCTTTTATTTTATTTATTTTTTGCAACAATTAAAAAAAAGCTTATTTCTAGGCTGTGAGAGTTGAACATTATGTTTGTGAATGAAAGATTTGGAACATCTTTCTCAGAAATATACTTGATTATTGTAGAGTAGTTCATCTCTGTGACTGAATGTAGTTAAATAAACTTAAATGACTTGATGATGTAACCTGTTAAAGCTTGATGAAAGATTGTGCTAGAGGAATCGCTCGTGTTGCATTCGCTGCCTGCTGGAAATGTCCACGTTTGTTTGTGGACACTGTTTGGTAGAAATCAACTTGACTCTGAGCCATAAAATATAAAACAAGTTGAATCTGAAGTTTGGTCTGTTTTTTTTTTTTGTCTGTTTGGTTTGATAATTTGCATTTTTTTAAGTTGACAAATACTTKGATAAAAATTCTAATTTGATCAGTTTTATAATTGCAAAGAAGAGTACCACCTGTGGACAACTTCCTGTTAGTGTCTCATGGACAGACAGATAAGGACAGTCTAGAGGACATTTCAGTTACATTTTATCCCAAATTGCTTCTTTATTGGTTCTGTTCAAAATTCAGTCACTCCAATAGAAAACCTACATTCAGCTTCAAATAAGAAAACACCTTCAATATCAACCTTTTAATCCACTTGTCAAAACTGATGAATAAGTAAACGTTTTAAAGATAAACACAGAAAAGCAGAAAAATAAGCAGTTTTCTGCAGGTCCACGAGTCCCAAAAAAACATTACAAATCTGAGATGGATCCTTCTTGAAGCTTTAATCCATTTTTATGTCTGCATCAAATATTCTGAACCAAAAWTGTGTCACACAAACAAAGAAATCATCTTAAAATTGATATTAAATKGATTTTCCTCATAAGGCCTTTAGGTTTGCTTCGCAAAAAACTATAGGAGGAACATGAAAGCATTCTGCTTTCAAACCCAACCTGTCAATAAAAAAAACACAAACACCATGAACATAAAATAAGTCATGGTAAATGTACATATATTTTACTTTCTTTTCTTTTTTTAAATATTCAGTTTATCTGCAGACTCCTCMGTTTTGAGAGAGTGTCTGTTTTCTCACAGATTTACAGTTTTGAGTCAGAAACGTTTCCTCTGAAGTCAGCAAAGCCTCTGACGAGCAGCAGCAGAGTCCCACGTCTCTGTCCTCCATCGGTTCGCAGACCGGAACCGGCTGCTGTGACTGGCTCTTCTGCCCTCCCATCCGACACCAGGGAGAAAATTTAATTATCTGTCAGTGGGGGGGGCTGGGGTGGGGGGKGGGGTTGCTGTCAGGGTCAGGACGGTAGCGTTCCCTTAAGGTACCACATCCCCGCATAGCTGACGCAGCACTCCTGAAACCATAAATTACAGGTTAGATTGGTGGGAAACAGGAAGTAGAGGGCGGAGGAGATGTTCTGTTCAATCTTACGTGAAGCAGCCGGTCGAGCTCGGCTTTGGTTGGTTCTCYGAGCTCCTGAGCCAGTTTGGATTGAATCGCGGCCCTCCTGGCCCGGTAGTTCTTTGTGAACAACTCGTAGAGCAGCCGACGGTGCTGCGGGAGAGTAAAACAAATTCGCAGAAAAAATGATGAAGTTGGTCTTTTAGGAAACATCCTTAATGGGTCTACATTTCTTAGCAAAGTAAACCCAGGCTTACTTTACTTTTTCCTCTATTTTCTCTTTACTTAAAAAAAAAAAACCACTGATGATGAAGAAATTAAGAAACTAATAAGTTCTTTTTTCTACTGAAGTGATTAAAAAAAAGCAAAGTAAACCCAGGCTAAATGACAATTAAACAATCCACACATCCAAAAATTATCTTTACATTTTACTCCAAAATGTTTTTTTTTTTGGTTCTTTGTAGAGCTGCACAATATATCGTTTGAGAATCATGATCACAATGTATGGGTGCGCAATAATCCCACTGCAGGTCCTGCGATGTAGGAAGCAAAATCAATCTGTTATCAAGGGGCTAAACTAGTCACGARTTATAGCTTTTATTTTGACGAGTTGCTTCTGCCAGCAAAAGCAGGCAGCGAGGATCTTGATGAAAACGAGGAAGATGAGCAAATTCAGAAATAACTGGAGGAAGAGGTAAAATGTGGTTAGCTTGAATGCTAATAATAAAGTGCGATCATGGAAACAGAAACTAAGATGGACACAGAGGCAGGTGGTAAAATGTGTTGAAACAATCTCCACTCCAAGTCTGTCCATAACTTTTATTTCACTTCATAAATTTCATCAACTTCCAAAAGTGAAATTAGCATCATTCTTTCAAACTTATTTTCTACTGATATTGATCCCGTGTCTGTCGCAATATAGCCCTAMCCCGGGCAATAAAAGCAAGCAATAAAGATAAGAAAAATAACTCTCAAATACAGACAAAAACATACTTGTAACATATAAAAAATAAGTATGATCGGTGCAAGTTCATAACTTAAAGTGTTATTTAAATCATCTGTTGAACATTCCTGTATTTTTTCCTACTGCAAATTTCACGGTTAGAAAAAAATTTGAAATATCAGTTTTTTCTAATATTCGTGCAGCCCTAGTTYTTTGTACAGATTTGAGCCAAGCAACTTCACTCCACAAAACACACACACAAAAAAAGAAATACAAAAATTTGCAGTTCAGATTCACTGATTATCACTTCAAWATCTTGATGCTTTTATTCTGAAGTGACCTGAAACTGATGCGACGTGTGAATTTGCGGAATCTAACTTGTGGTTTGTGGTGACTTCTAGCTAAAAAGAAAACCTGGATGGAGAGAGAGAGGAGAGTGTTTACCTGGTCGAAGCCGTCTCCCTTCTCCCACAAGCCGAAAACCTTCTGCTCRTCAGGAGCTGCTTTAGTCTGAGCTGGAAACTAAAAGAAAAACAAACAAAACTTTCAGACTTGACCCASGATCTGTCAGTTATAAGCCTTGTTTAAGTGAAGAAAGTGTTCTCATGTGAGCCTTATTCTGTTATAATAAAAAAAAAAATCTGTATTTCATTATGCAACTTTGAAATGAAAAGTATACCTAAATACACTAGTGTCTTCTGTTGTTCAAAACTTATAACTTTTGTACAGAGACCATTTGTTTGAGGCTTCATGTTACTTTGATCTTTTCCATGAACACCAAGTCAAAACAAGAACAGTCTGGGACAGCAAGAAACCCCCAACCAGGATTAGGTCTCCAGAACCGACCCACAGACTGGACACTGATCTATGAACCGCCAGACATCTTAACAATAATGTTAACAGTGAGGTGGAGGTTGACTCCTCTGATCCCAGATCTGTCTGTGTTTACAAACAACCTTCTAGCTTAATCGCTCGCTGAGCAGTAAAGAGATTAGCTTTAAAGCTAATAATCTGTTGCATAAGAAAGACGACGCTGATGCTGTCCCCTCCCCTGCAGCTTCCAAAATCCTTTAAAACTAAAGATAAAACTCAGGAGTGAGTTAGATCTGAGGGATGTGGGTCAGATAGACCAGAGATTGTTGMGCGCCACCTTGAGGGCCTCAAAAGAACAACAGTTTTTAACTTTGGGTCGCAGAGGGCCGCGGGACCGCAGTGATTTTAAATAAGGTGCAATACACTTTCTCTCCACTAGTAGCAGTAGTGCGCCATTAAGTTGTTTAACAATTTTTTTAATATGTAGAAGAAGAACCTTAGAAACCTGCCGAGAATGGAAACTTATTTTACAGGAAAAGTAGAAGCAAAAATGAAAGTAACTCGTCAATAAACACCAAAGTTTGTCACTAATATGAAGAGCAGCTTCTGGTTCTACCATTCAATATTTGAAAAGTTCAAAACATTATCAAATAGTTGCAGATACAACTATATTTTAATTTGCACTTTAAATTCATTTTTGTAGTTTATTTTTAAACATTTTGAATGCATTTTAAAGAGATTTTAAACTTGTCAAAAAGCTGTTGTTACTGTTATTGTTTGTCACTAATAAGAAGAGCAGCTTCTGGTTGCAAAAGTTTAAAAAGGCTTTATTTTCATTTGTACTTTATCAAATTTATTTTTACAGTTTTTTAATTTGAAAAATTTACATTAAACATTTTTAATTTATTTATTTTATGCTCAATTTTATTTTTTGAATAGTTTCTTTTGTTATTGTTTATGTTAAAAACATTTATTTTTGTGCTGATAAGCCTGAGTGGTCTGTTGACCGACCTTTGTATTTGTTCAAACAATTTTTACGGGCAGGGTACAAAATAAAAATGGTTGTCATATTCATGTCTTGTCATTTGACAGGAGTTTTACTTTTAAACTGTAAGTGTATTTAATTTAGTTATGTTAGTTGTGATAGTTTAGTTATAATGCAAATACAATAAAATCAAACCAAAATTTAGAATAATTATCATTTTGATCCATACATCGGTAATGTCTGACTGGGTCTTGTGCCACTTTATGTTCAACAAATTGAGCCCCGAGGTCAAAAAGGTTAAGAACCCCTGAGATAGACCACATCATGGGAGCAAAGTAATCCAGAGGACTGATAACCAACAGTCTGCATTGAGATGCCCAAACGCAGAGACAAACAAAAGATATCAGGTGGCCTCTGGAACTTGAATGGAACCTGAGAACCAGGTCTGCATTGCTTTAGTGCGCCAGCTTCTGTAAAAATGTCCGTTAATGTCGTTATTCTGTGCGGGAAAAACCTGATACTCACATTCAAGCTGCTAAGAAAAAAAAAGAGGCCTTATTTAAGCTGCACGGGCTGCTTAAACYCAGAGAACAGAGGTGAAACGGATCTTAATTCAGGACCAAAGAATCTCAACACTTCAAAAGCCAAACTGCAGGTGAATCAGAGAACAACAAAGACGCTCTCAGCCGGGTCACACGAGAAATCTAAACTTTAAAAGCAGTTGGAAATTTTACAGTTTAGGCAAACAAAAAAAGGAGATAAACCATATGATCCCAGTTTACTTAACTGGATGTTTATTATTCTTTATATAATATTGCTTTTTATGTTATTTTGTGCTTGCTGCATGTTCTGAACAGTGGATGTGATCTTTGCTTCTTCCTGTTCCTTTGTACTGTGTTACATTTTACCACATCCTGCTACAGCAGGTTTGTACTACTTAACCTGTTCTCACTCGGCCACAAGTTATTTCTACTGAAATTATTCTTTGCCTCTGCTTCTAACAAGCTCGTAACACAAAATCTAAACTGGTCATGCTAATGAAGAATCAGTAAAACAGGATGTTGTGTTTTATGTGTTAAACTATCACTAAACTAAATAGCATCCTCCTCCCTCCTCCTCCACTGTGTTTATGTCGAGTTCAGTCTGTGATGCTGTCCTGGACTGGTTTAAACCTTTTATCTCCAGTAGACTTCTTAGCCGTGGCAAAGCCAAGTCTCAGACTGCCTGTGTCACCCGTGGTGTTCCTCAAGGGTCAGTCCTCGGGCTCCTGCTATTTTCTCTGTATATGCTGATTTTAGGCCAAGTCATTAGTCAGCACAGCATTTTTTTTATTGTTTTGCAGATGAGACACAGATTTACATCAGGACTGTCTCATATACCTTAACCAATCTGGCAGCATCACCTACTTCAACACTGATAGCAGCAGGAGCACCAGCATCATCAGCATCACTATCATCTTCATCATCACTGCCTTGACTACCTGCCTGGAGGCTTTACTGACTGCCACCCCTCACCAGGTCCAGACATCAATCATGACTACTATTTCTTTCCCTGGACAAGACGTTCCCCTTTCCACCTCTTACTAATCTTGGTGTGAGACTGGACTCTCAAYTTACATTTGAAAATCACATGAAAGTGCCTGTGACATGCATTTACATGAAATACAAAAAAAAAATCAAAGAAAATATTTTTCTATTTAAGAAACTCGGCAAAATACACATGATTTGACACATTATATCACATAATTGGCAAATTTTCTTTTGAATTTTGCTCAGCTAAAGTGAAACAGCAAGTGACATCAAAGGGGAACTCTTTGAGAAAGAAAGCTCCCTGGTTTTTGTTTATTGAAACAATATTTTTTGAACTCTGACTCTCTCATCTTTTTATGATCGTGATTAAAATATAAAAAAAAAACCATCAGATTCTTCTCTACAGTCTGTGTTGTTAGCTATTTTATCAACGCTCTGTTTATATTCAGACATTCCCCTTTGACATCACTTCCTGTTTCTTCACATGCAAATATCTCAACAACTGTTCATCTCAGCAGCATGAAATCTTTTTAATAATATATTATCAATGTTATCTTTTCAAAAATACATTCATAGTTATTATAAAAAAATGATGTCACAGGCACTTTAAGCATTGGTTTAAAATCTGCTTCATCCATCTTCACAACATCGCTAAACTTCAGCCCTCTCTCACTTTTGCTGACATGGAGAAACTCGCTCATGCCCTTGTCTCCTCCAGGCTTGACTGCTGTAACTTCCTGTTTACCGGAATCTCTGGTAAAAATCTTCAGAAACTTCAATATATTCAAAACAGAGCAGCCGGGATGAAAGGAGTGGGAAAAAAAAGAAGGATTTTAAATTTCCATGACAGAATACTCACAGGCACCATTATCTGTTTGCACTGGCAGAGCAGCACGGCRTCCTGCAGCACGTGGTCCGAGACGGAGCGAAGGGCGCTCTGTCCCGCCGGCATGGAAGCTAGGTGAAGGTTAAACAGCCGCTTCAGCTCGTTCAGCGTCAGCACAAAATGCTTCCGGAAAGTCTTTGTCACGAAGTCCTGCAGCTCCGGGGACAACATGCTGGAGGGGCTCCCCCCGTTGGAGAGATCAAAACCCGGAGAGGCGGAGCTGCTGTAACCGTTMACAGAACCGTTGGGGATGGAGGTGTCCATCGGCTCGTCCTCCCTGACGGGCTGCCGGTTGGTTGAAACACTGCTCCCTGCACGTCTGACATCCAGGTCCCGCTGCAGCGACGTCTGCTTTTCTTGCGCTCGCTCCTGAGCCATCCTCAGACGCTGCTCCCCGCTGACGTGGACGGGCTCTAGAGGACAACACAGAAGTCAACTTACGTAAAACTAAAAGAGAAAAAGTAATAAAAAAAACAGCAAGTTATGACCAATAGAATTCTKCTTTACCTGGCTGCGGGTCATTCTTTGGCACAAAATCTTCTTTGGAGAAATTAAAAACCTTTTCCAACCTTTAAAAAAAAAGATTTTTTTTAATATCCACAACCTTTCCTCAAAAAAAAAAAAAACTTCAGTAAACCTTCTTCTTGAAACCTACTTGCTTTGGATACCAAGCCACAACATCTGCTGCCTGTGGGYGATATCTGGATGCTTCTTGATGAAGTCCAGATCAGTGGGCAGCAGAAACTCCCAGCCACGGTTGACCCGAGGAGCTGCTACGTGTTCGAGGAACTCCTTCACATCCTCAGGAGGAAGCTAATGGAGGGAGAGGGAAGGATTTAGCTGATTTAGCTAAAAAAAAAAAAAAAAAAAAACAGCATTCTCTGTGTAGAAGTGTTTTAGGCTCCTAAATAGCAACAAATAAAAACTATAAAAAGGTTTTTAATTAAAGTGAAACCAACAATTTCTTTTTTCTCAAACTACTTCTTACTTTGATGATGGATGCAATTTCTTTTCTCATCACGGAGCGCTCCTGAGTGAATCTCCACATCTACAGAAAGTAAACAGTCATTTACTCGAACTGTAAAACAACATACTATAATTTATTCTGAGTAATTAAATAAATAGATTTTAAAAAAGAGGGATAACAGCTCACCACAAAGTCTCTGCCACGACAGAGCACTTCAGCAGAGACACCACTGTGAGCGCTGCAGGTGTTTTTAGGATACAGAACATCACTTGGGACCAGGGGAAAAAAACATCAGCATCAGTTTATTTGAGCAATTTGAAACAATGCAGACACTCTTTACAATCAGTTTCCATCAAAAATCAAAGTCTATTTCTTTCTCACCTTTTTACAACCCAGTTTCCCTGAACCAGCAGCGCCACCTGCTGGATGCAGCGCAGCACCGCGGTCTGGTCGATACCAGAGGCGAGCAGCCCCATCAGGTTGGCAAACGGCATCACCTTGACTGAGAACAGAAATTTAACACAAGTTAACTAAACGTTTCTGTAACAGAGAAAGATTTTTACTAAGCTTATAGCAGACATTACATATAATTATCAAAGAAAGGAGGAAACATGATCAGTATTTTCCAGTGATCGTAGCTTACCGTTCTTCATCAGCGTCTTGACTTGATCGCCAAGCGGCAGGGTGCGGAGCTGAGCCATGGAGAGCACATTACTGGGGCCGACTGGTTTCACGCTGATGTGTACAGAGGAACAGTCATGTTAATAACCTTAAATCCAGAAACATTTGTCAAAAAAAAGTGAGAAACACTTACACTTTCTCCTCCGTGAGAGGGGGCATCAGCATCGTCAAGTACTCCCTGAGAAAACAGGAGAGAGTTTGAGCAAAGCTCTGAAATCAGAGCTGATCAGGTGAATAAAGACGCGAGCGAAATGTTAGCTGCGTTCATGGAGACGTGCAACTAAAATAACATTTTGGACAATAAATATGACACCAGATAAGGACTGTTAGTTTTTCTTTTTTTCACCACTCACTTTGGAGTTTTGACCAGTTCAGAGTTCTGCGAAGCGTCTACAGACTGACAGAACAAGTACTGCTTTTCRTGCTCCGAGCGCCCGTCCTGCATTCAAAACAATTGAAACATTAAAAACAAACRCACAGAGCAGTAATGTCACCAAACTGAACATGTTCAGTCTGAGTGGTCCCTCTACCTTCGCCCGGTGGTGCTGCAGGTGGATCCAGGGCTCCTCCGCCTGCTTCTTCTGCAGAAACTCGTAAGACTGGATTCTCCTCTGCCGGGCCTGCTCCGATTCGGGACGGGCAAACCTCACCTAAAGAAGAAGCGTGCAGAATTTCACACTCGGTGTTTGCACGAAAACTTAAAAAAGATAACGTGGCTACAACATTATTGCATTAATAAATATTAATCTTCACCGTGATCGCCTTCGCTTCCTCTTCAGTTTCCTCCTGGGAGGAGTCTCCACCTGCAGGCGAGAGAATCGGGTCATCCGGCAGTCATCATTACAATTATTCAAGACAATAACTCCACATTTATTTTATATAAATCAAACATTAAAATAAAAGGCTATTTTTTTCCAAATTGTTGTAACAATAAATTATACAGAAAAAGTAGTTTATTATAAATTGTTTTTATTATTATTTGTATTTATTGTGGATTTCTTTGACAATCAAACAACAAAAGACATTTAATCTCAAACATGATTCACAACTAAAGGAAATTGGGTCCTTTTTGTTTACAAAAAAAGTTAATTTTCTCACATTTCTTGCAAAGTAAAATAAAATTGTATTTACTTTATTTGGGTGAAAAAGTAATTTCATCACTTCTGCTCTTAAAAATAAAATAAGGATGTTTTAAATGTGAAGGTGGAAAACACACCTTCATTAGCCGCCTCCCGCTCTCTGGTTTTGTTGTCAGCTTTGTCCAAATAAGAGAAACTAGGTCTCATCTGCAGGATTCCCGTCAGCGGGGTGATATGAAGCTCACCTGATGAAATCATCAGTAAAAAACAATTAGACTGTATTCTGGCTTTTCTACAGTATATGATTCCATATTAGTTGTAATGCCAACTAACGGACTATAACCTTATCAATGTAAACAAAGCTAGATGATTAGTAAAAAGAAACACTGAAACACGAATGACCTTTGAGCATTTACAACAAATCAGACAAAGTCAGCACACGTGTGGTGCTGCAGCAGGCAGCAGGCAGCAGGTAATCGGGTCAGACCTTTGCGAAACAAAGCAGCTGCATATTTGGAGGTGTTGGTCGTGGCCTGGATGGAGGAAAACGTCTGTTTGTCCATCATTTTTCTGAACAAGACACATCAAAGCAAGAACTGTCAATCTACTAAACGAACTAGGACGTCTTTAGGATTAATAAAGTAAAAAAAATATATGTACATACGATGAGTAAGTGTTGGTTTCATCGTAGGACATGCCGTCCACATTTAGAGCTATTTGCTCTCCTTTACTGCGACAGTAATTTGGACTTTTGGTGTTGATGGCCATTTCCAGCTCCAGCTGTTAAGATAAGAAACACACACACAAAAAAACCCAAAAACAAATAAACCCGCAAAGAAATAAATGAACCAAAACAAATTTCAAGAAACAACTAAAGTTAAGCAGAATTAAAAATGCCAGATGTGTTTACCTTCTGCTGTTTGGGTTTGATCTTAGCTGACAGATGATTGACATCATCATAGGTCATAGTGGCCGGTCGCACTGGATACTGAGTTTAAAAAAATACAAATATGACAAATTACAGATCAGTGAGTGAATCCAGATTTGTTTTAAAAAGACTGAGTCCTATAAAAGGAAAGCTCACCTGGAGAAGATAAAGTTTATCTGCAAGGCTTTTGGCGAGGTACACATCGATCTACAAGGAGAGAAACAGTATATCAGAAACCTTATCTTTCACCACAAAGCTTAGGACTTGCTTAAAAATGAACACCTAAACAAATTTGATTCCTGGAAATCCAACCATGAGGACCGATAACCAGAATAAACAAATGTTTTCTTGAGAGTCGTTGAGAACACTACAACTTCGGAGCCCGGGGGGTTGGATCAAGCATGCTTTGGCTTGTGTTACAGTCAGYAACAAACATTTAACTAGTTGGGTTTTGTTTTCAGGCAAAACAAATTATAGGCAATCTTTTGAAAAGCTGGGGAAAAGAAAGAAACAAAAAGAAACATGTGACCTGTGTTGGCAAAACAAGTTGGAATGATGGAATGAGCACAGGCTGCCGTACAAAATTAGCTAATAGCATACAATTCCCTTTATGTTGATATCTTCTTATTTTGAAAAAAATCCAGTCATCGTTTTATTCATAGAAAACCAATTACAAACATATTAAACAGCAATATTTATGACACATAATACAGACTTATACCTCATCTATAATGGGGTCGTCTTCTTCACTGCTGGCCATAATGATGAAATCACAGCCAGAAGCTGAAAGATGTCACAAGAGAGAGGAGCTGATGATGTCAGGGATCCAACCAAACCTATAAAATAAAATAAAAAGAAGTACAGGGAGTTACTGCACAGCATCTAGTTTATAACTGAGAGGCTACGCCATAAAAATAACATGCAGCTGGAGAACTATTACGAATTAATGCAGGATATGGTGGGTAAAGCTAGACTGATGATTGAATTATAAGCTTATAGTGTCAGAAGGACCAATATTTAGAGACAAAAGTTTACAGCAGGTAACACATGATGCAACATTAAGCCACCCACTTTAAATGACTTCTCTTCATTCAAATATATTCTAATAAACAGTATGCCTTCTAGACACTCAACACTGTGATTTCAGAGAGTTATTACACACTGATGACACCAGCTTTAAAGCCAAGTCAGTATTTGTCTGCGTTAGCTTTATGTTAGCAACTTAGCTAAAACCGTTCACCTGTACAACTCAGTTTCTAATTTTTAACCCGTTTTCAGGTAAAAAGGAAAAGCGAAGACAAAGTTCTTGTTTAAATTCTCAGTAAAAGAATAAGAAACGAATGAGACAAAGAGGTTGTTAGCCGGTGATAGCCTAGCCAAGTCAGCTGTACGTAGCGCATGCTAGCTAACTTAGCCTGGCGTGCTAACAGGCACATTGYTACACAAACTGACAGTCAGTCACCCGGCCGGAGGTAAACAGGTTCATCTCTCACCTGCACTTTTCACCGCCCGGTTTAAACAGTTTCATGCGTGCGTGAGACGTCCAGGACGATCGTTGAAGAACCAACAGAAGTTAACTCAATGCTGCTGGGGTGAAGGTATGATGTTGAGTCAGCTCCACACAGAGGCACGTGGGGAGGAGCTCGTGTCTGTAGCAGTATATGAAACACGCAAGTTTTTCACATTTTATTAATCACATCTCGGGAGTAATGTGTTATAGTTTCCACGTTGGCGATAATAAGGAGACCAAAGAAATTGTGAATGAATTGAAAAAGAACATGTGRCAGCGGTGGGATTCGAACCCACGCCCCCGAAGAGACTGGAGCCTTAATCCAGCGCCTTAGACCGCTCGGCCACGCTACCTCACAATTATTGCTTTTACCACGTATTGGACAAATTAAATGTGAAAACGCGTATGTTTTTGTRTGTTTTTGTATTTATATTGACTTCCTTTTGCTTGTTTACATTTTCCACCATAACGAAACTTTCCTACTTTTATTAACTAGCATTACTTTCTATGTAATAAAATGTCTGCCATTCTGAAGAACATGAATAACCAATAACATGAGATGTTATTAGGATCTCATCATGACTTGTGTAATCTCGTAATTTTTACTGAAGATCTCAATTTTGGTTCGCAAAGTCATGATTTAGATATGCTGAGTCATGTATAAAGTATGAAGTCACAATATGAAAAATATATCTCTGCATTATGACCTAGAGAATATTTTGCTATGAAATTGGCTTCATTACCTCTTGGAAGGAAGGAAGGAAGGAAGGAAGGAAGGAAGGAAGGAAGGAAGGAAGGAAGGATGTATGTATGTATGTATGTATGTATGTATGTATGTATGAATGTATATATGAATGTATGTATGTATATATGTATGTACGTATGTATGTAGGATGTATGAATGTATGTATGTATGTAGGATGTATGTATGTATGTATGTACGTATGTATGTAGGATGTGTGAATGTATGTATGAATGTATGTATGTAGGATGTATGTATGTACGTATGTATGTAGGATGTATGTATGTATGTAGGATGTATGTAGGTTGTATGTAGGATGTATGTAGGAAAGTCACTGCATTTTCTGGGCAACAGCAATTTCTCTGGTTTGATCTGAGTTTATTTAAATAATTTTATTCAAGTTTAGTTTGGAAGTTTTGAATAAGGAAGTTTTTAACTCTGAAGGAACAATTTTCTCAGTTACACATAAAAAAGGGAAAAATCACAAGGAAATGAAAAGCAATAAAAAGCAAGGCAAACTTTATTATGTACTTATTTTTTACATAAACTCTTCCAACATTAGTCTATTAACAATGCTCTTTGTTCTGATTTTACTTTTTTAGACATTTTTCTTTTATACAACCATATTCACTTCATTAAAAAGGTAATGAGGGGACGGGGAAGTAAACAGAGAACAAGTCAAGATGATTAAATGTCCCAAATCAACAGACAGAAACAGGAAGAAAGAAATGTCTGATCATCGATGGCTCGGCAAATGCACACATTAACACATTCAAACTGCTAACAGCAAAAATTCTGTCGTAAAAATATGTAAACTAATGTCCTGATGCATCTCAGTAATCCAGGTAGAAAAAATCAAAAAGAAAAAAATAAGTAGGTMMTCTGGACGGATTCTTCTTTAGTGAAACGTTTCGTCTCTCGTCCAAGAGACGTCTTCAGTCTGATGAGTTTCAAGTGAACTCAGCCTTATAAGCACTGCCTCCACATGGACAAACAGGAACTGTTTTCTGAAGACGTCTCTTGGACGACAGACGAAACGTTTCACTAAAGAAGAACCCGTCCAGAGGACCTGCTTATTTTTTCTTTTTTGATGTAAACTATAATCATTCAGGGTAAATGCTGAATGTCTTAAAACCAGAGAGAACGTCTGACACTCAGAAACTCCCACAGYCATCGGTGGGGATGAATTATGTATTCATATTTACTCCTCCACCAGCGCCCAGGCCTCCTCAGCTTTCATGTAGTACTGGTTGGCCAGGCGACCTTTCATGGCCGCCATGGCAGCTTCTGCGGCTTCGGTAAACAAATCGCCTGCATCAAAACAGGAGAGACGGTATAGTCAGAAATTTGGACTCGGGTCATATTTTCTGTTTTCATGATCAGTTTGTATTAGAGAGYGGTGAGGGGACCGGACCTGCTTTCTGAGGATCCGCGGTGAGGTTGTGGCCTCCCTCTTGGTACATCTCCGCCTCTCTGGCCAGCAGTAGGTGGCGAGGCTCGTCCTGCGTGCCGTCGAACTCTCCGCCCTCATCGTAGTCCATCATGTTCAGGGCGCTGTCGTACCAGTGCACCGCTTCATCCCAGTCTTGCTTTCTGTCGACACAGAACGAAAAATATCTTCCAGCGTAAATCCACCAGGGGGCAGTGTTACAGTTAGTGATCGCTGGTTAAACATCAACTGATTAACTTGTGGAGTTTACTTTATGCAGGATGGCAGCTGCTRCTAACTGACATGAGCAGACACACAAACAAACATCTACAACACCTTATTTAATTTTATTTTTTAAAGAAGTGCACCAAAACATGAAAAATTTTTTGATAAACTTTGTACACTTTCAACTCTAGATTATACGACTGAGTATTAGAGCCACACACGATTTTTTTAAATTATCATTACAAGATTAAAGTCGTAATTTTACGAGAATAAAGTCATATTACATGACACGTCTATTTTCCGTTCCTCATTTCCTCCTTATTTTCCCTCACACCTGCTGTATACAGCCATGTCTCTGTGTTTATGAAGAAGTCTGTGATGACTTGGGTCACTGGTGTAATATGCTTTCATCCAAATTAGCTACGTGACGACTAAATCTGTCAATGCATCCATTAATTACAATACAGCTTTACAATACTGATTATTTGATGCTAATGTGCTAAAAGATTATTTATTTATTTTAAGCAATACTAAATAACAACTTCAACCTTCCTCATTTTAATGCAGTAACTGCATGCTTTTTCATATAAAGGCTACATTATGACTTTTTCCTTGTAATATTATGACTTTAAACTCGTAATAATACAACTTTATTCTCATAATATTATGACTTTATTTTAATATGACTTTAATGTTGTAATATTATGACTTTATTCTTGTAAAATTACAACTTTATTTCCATAATAGTATGACTTTAATGTTGTAATATGATGACTTTATTCTTGTAATTAAAAAAACAATAAAATGATGTTGTGTGGTCCCAATACTTCGTCGTAAGATTAGCATCCTTGCTTTTTAGCTTTTAGCTACTTTCGTCAAGCTAGTTTTCGGTTTTTGTTTTGCAAGTTTTAGCTTTTAGCTGCTGTTTTGCCATCTTTAGCTTTTATTTTGATTTGTCATAATTAACAAAACGTTCTGTTTCGGTCATCCGGCGCTCAGAATTCAYGCAGCTTTTTTTTGTACTCTTTGCTTCCCCCACCTGTCAGCTGACAGGTTGATTCCTGTATCGAAGGCTCTGGCAACAACGATCATTGAAGACCTGTCGCCGGCCTCGGCAGCCTGCAGGAGGTACTTAAAACCTTTCATCCTGTTTCCTGCGTTGTCCTGCCAATGACACAAACGGGTCAGAAACAGAAACAGAGCAAACCTGAATCAGCTGACGAGAAGTGAAATCCCGGCGTGTTTACCTCCACCTCCATGTCGGGCAGAATGTGATGAGGCAGCTGCAGGTAACATTTCCCCAACGCGACGATGGCCTCCAGCTCTCCACACAGGGCGGCCCTCTCAAGGTGGAACATGGCCGAGTCCTGATCCCACTGCTCGTCCTTCTCACAGAAACGACCCGCCTCGTGGTAGCGGACCATGGCCAGGTGGACCTGAACGGAAGACCCAGATGAAATGATCAGATCTTAGCGAATAGGGCTGTGTATTGGCAAGAATTTGGCGATACGATACATATCATGACAGAGGGGTCACGATACGATATATCACGATATATTGCGATACTGTAAGCAAGGCGATATATTGTGATTTTTTTTGTCCAAAAATTCTATTAAATAAAAGCATCTTACCGAAAAAAAAAAACATAATTCATTGTCTCAGAAAATTCTAATATTACATAGACATACTTTTGATACACTTAGCTGTGTTCTGCTTTGTATGGATTTTATTTTATTTGTTTCATATTTC